GGAATAAGATTTAGGGAATACGATGTAGGGATCCCGCGCTTTAGGATTTAGCGAAAAGGATTCTGGGAACAGGCTTCATTTTTTGTGAAAATTATGGGTTATGCAATAGAATTTTGCGAAGCAGGTTAAGGGAATAAGACTTAGGGAACAGGGTTTAGAGAGTCGGTCTCATTTGGGGATTTATGTTCGCCTGTGGGCAACAGTAGCATGCCGCAATGCTGTTCTCGTGATAGGTTACAGTAGAGAATGTTGTAGTGTAGTGTTGCAGGGTATGGAGGGGTGCTGTCGCTCTGAGAGGTTGGGCGGAATTTCGTAGTGGAGTGTTCGGTGTTCTAAGGATGCTCGGGTAGAGCTTTTTGAGAAACGGTAGGTTTTGGAGGGGGGGTTGGGTATCATATATATGTATACATGTGCATATTGGGGTCGTTGTGGCATGTGTGATTTTGATATTCCAAGGAAGGTTAGTTTCAACGAAAACGTTGGGAGCGAACCCATAGGACTACAAGGCATGCAATATGTAGAGTCTTTGTGTAAGCACAGACGTGTGTTAGTTTTCTCCTTCTTGTTCATATTCGCAAGATGAGTAGTGCTAGTGCTCACATACGAACCGTATTGGTATTATGATAGGTAGCATGGGCATTATTCGCAGTGTCAGTGTCGTGAACATTCTTAGTCTTAGTGGTTTCTCGAGAACTTGTTCTCCGTATGACTTCTCAGAAGCTTTGGGTTCAATTCCCCGCCTTCCCCACCTTCCGAAGTTCCTGAAACATTCGGACCCAATAGTCTATATTCCGCAGCCTATACACTTGAGGTGGCCTCATACCGCATTCCAACTTCCCTGATGTTTTGTAGGTCTACTCTCATATGAAAATCAAACACAAGTAAGACACCAATACGCTATATGCTATATCTATGTATCTATCTCGGTGACTGCCTGTATGCGGGACTACGCGGACTTCTTAGCTAGAGGGCCATCGCAAAAGGCTATACTGTGAGCAGATAGCAGAAGTGTTTTGTTGTTTCAGGAACTCCTGAAGGCTGTATTTCCTCTTACTACCAGTACCTCCCAACCCCCTAGTATCTTTAGAGTAGTACTAGTAAGATTCGTAGTGCTAGTGCTCGCGTCTATTTAGCAGGTTAATGTTCTTAATGGTGGCCTAACATGCCATCTCCAACATTCCAGATTCACAGCTTCAAAGTTTTAGAGCCCAGCATGGCGCAATCTAAAGTTTTAGCGCGTTTTGGGGCTGACATTCCTTGTCCATCGTACCAAAATTTAGATGCAAGATTCCATGCCCCACGGCGGTTTTAACACGATAGATATCTACCTGCATAGGATACTCTATGGATACAGCTGATGCTTCGACCTTTTCCCTTAGGATCAACCTTATTTTTTGGAGCGCTCCCTTATGGCCCATGTGAATATAGATAGATATACATATCTATATATGTGTATATATGTATGTATATATATATATATGATATTTCTATACTTAAGGGTTAGGTGGGGAAACTAAGATTAAGAGCAGGCCACTGTAGACCTAACAGCAAAGAGGACGAAAGAGGCTTCAACCCCGGCCCACCCCAAAAAATCAAAAAAGCAAGCAACAAATTGACAAATAGAAGTCTTTCATGTTTGAGTCTCCCAAGTTGGCATCAACTCAGACTTTGAAGAAGCTCAGGAAGAAGCCGGCAAGGAAACAAAGAGGTGAAGAAGAGAAGCGGGGGTGGAATACTCTATAGTGGTAGTGGATGCTTCATATTGTGAGCTTATCCAAACCTTTCCCTTTCTGTTTCGCCTGAAGAGGGACGGGGGGGAAACAATGGCGGCCTGGAGGGGGGTGGTGGCAAAAAGCTACAAATAAGTACACAAGAATATTCACACACACACACACACACACACACACACACACACACACCCACGCACGCACGCACGCACGCACGCACGCACGCACGCACGCACGCACGCACGCATGTTTGTCTTTCCCTGAGGTCTAAGCTCCCCACCTCCTCTGATGCTCGAAAGGTTGGCTCTTCGCTTAATTCCTTATCCATTTTTCACAGTAGTAGCTTCAATATTCTAAAGCAATCGCAAATACGGATATCTCGGTAGTCCGTGTAAACCAACAAGCGTCACAAATACACAATGCCACGGCGTACTATTCTCAGAAACGGTAGCTCCTGTGGGCTCCTGCGGGTTCGATGTTGGTTCAATGGTTCTACCAGTAACTCCGAATTTGTTGATACCGTAGGTCATCCCTTCACACGGTTTCAGTCTCCACACACAGAACTATTTTACATTATCTCTGTGTCAGTCAGAGATAGTCCAGGGTTCAGGGCTCAGGGCTTAGGGTTTGCGGCTTACGGCATACATCTATACACTGACGACATTCCAGGTTTCCCCGTTTTGGGAGGATGAGAAAGGATCCCATTCTTTGCTTTGCAGCACACGTCCCCATGTCCCACAGAGTTGCTGCCGAAGCCCCCCCCAACAAAAACCAAAAGAGAACCACAACAACACAATTCAACACCCTGAGGAGACACGAGTGCAGAGCACGTGGCATGTCGCCATCTTGGAAGACAAGGTGGCAAGAAGGGTGAGAAGGGCAGGGAACGGGCTCCGGGTTTTCAGGGCTCTGAGGGCTCTCAGGGTTGGTTGGGGTCGGAGGTGTATCGTCAGGGTTGAGGAGTAGCTAGCCTTTGGTTAAAGGCTTTCAGCTCGATAGGGGGTTACGCTCTCGCCAGAATACGTCCAGGGCATACTTCTTTCGAACGTCAGTATGAGACACGCGCACGGTGTCCAATGTGTGCTCCTGCACCTCGAGCTAGATCACGACGGCGGGGCTCGAGATTGCATCCAGACGCACTTCCAAGTGTCGTGCCGGAATCGGGTGGAATGCTTCAACTGCCTGCAAACTCCGTCTTTGCCACAACGACCTAATCCTTGACCGTCCGTGGCAAGAGATTCTCTGATGCCAGCAATTAAACTTGCGCACACATCCTGTGTTACTTTGCGTCAGTACTTCCCAACATCTTGACGAGAGATCATTTTGGTACTAGATACTGGCAGCGCTTGACCAAAAACGTCAGCAGCATTGCACGCTCCTTTCGTTTCAGTTTTACAAAAGGGGGCCCTGTGCGGAGGTACCAGTCAACACACGCACGCAGAGACGTCTAGAGACAGCTGACAGGGGTCGCTACCGGCAGCAAACGACCTGCCACCCCTGGGCTTCAACACTTTCACCAGCCAGCTTGGTCAGAAGTTCCAGGACAGCCAGGCCGAGTTTTCAATAATCTCCACGAAGCTCCTCAGGAACTTCTGGCAGATGGTCCCAGGCACTGCCAAGCTTACCCTGTTACCCGCGGCATGCTGTCGAACCCTTTTTGAGCGAGGCGGCTGATGTCTGTCGTTGTTGGGAAGTGTCCGGCTGCCCGTGATTCATGGCATGATGACTCGTGATGGCCTTGTAGAGCTTTGGGAGCTGAGCTTTGGGAGCTGAGCTTTGGAGGCGGACTGTCATGCGGAGCGACTCAGGGTCTGGGTGCACGGCTTTGAGCTCGATCCTTGGGAGGGTGCCGAAAACAAGCGCGCCAGTGGACAGGGAGAAAGATTCCGTGACAGTTTGCGAGGATAGAGTCTGAGGGATGTTTCGATGGCGGAGCAAAAATGACATCTGCGACCACAGTCCGCAGATCGAGTTTCCGCTGCCATTCACTGTGACCTGCCAGGTGCTCCTGGAGAGCGTCTCCATGTCCCTGGATGTCCCTTGTGGCCATGTAGCAGCATTACTCCTCTCCTTCGGTGCGGGGTTGTTAGATTTTAACTTCTCCCAAATCTCCCATGCTGACATTCAACAAGGAATCCCGCAAAGTATCCCTGGAGTGCCCACCACCCAAAAAATCCGCGGAGAGTTCCGGCGTGCCCACTCCCCGCAGAATCGCAGAGAATCCCAAGAAAATTTCGCACAGAATCCTGCAAGCTGTCAGCTCAAGTCCCAACACGGTTTCGCGGCAATTTGTGTTAAAAGGTTTAAGGCGGGGATGCTTCTTGGGATTTAGAGCCTTGGACCTTGTGCCCGTTGGACTTCGTCTGGTTGTGCCTTACACATGCGGCATGCGTTGGTCGGGCCAAAGGTGCTGTTCAACTTGCTGATGCAAGCCAAGGTACGAACTTTAATGTGATTGCCTGCGACACATTCAGCATCCAAGATGGCAAGCTGAAAATGGTCAGGACTGAGAGAATGAGCCGTAGACGTAATCAGGGTCGCCGTGACTGGCCCCTGGGCTTTGCTGAGCAGGACCTGTGGGATTGAGTGGCTCCAATCCACTTGGCTGAAAAGCTGCTTAGCTGCCTGTTCAGACAGCCGGCTGGCAGAGTTTCAACATTCCCTGCAGCCTCCGAAAGTGCATGAAACCGTCCAAGGCATGATTGAGCAGAATGTTCCGCCCCAGCTTGCCGCTGTGGGCGAGCGCATGGCCAAGGTGGTCGGTCGCTGGTGGCAGAAGGCAATTCATCGGTAAAGATGGGATCCCACTACATACTTTACAAACAGGCGTCAAAAGAAATCGCGAGGCGGTTGTCGTTGCTGAGTCCAGGCTGGCTCGAACAACAAGGATGCGAAGCAGTGATTAGCACATTGATGCAGATATATGCAGGTGTAGATTGCCACCCCTGTGCATACCCTCGTTCAAAACGGGGTGGTGTAGTGGTGGTGCTTCTGGCCGGCAAGGCTCCAGCGTAGGCTAACCTCTCTCGTCTTTGAAGGCCCCCACTAGGCTTGCAATGACGAGCTGGCAGATTGGCTTCGCAGTTGACTTCCCGTCGGGAAAGCATCGATTCCAATTCGACATTAAAAAGGACCATGCCAGACCAATCCGTTGTGCCCTGAGCATTCTAGGTGAGAATGGTTCTCCAGGTAGCCATACAATTGCAGTTTCACATTGGCGGCTCCCATTCTCTTCTCCCACGGATGGAGCACATCGCAGCTTCATGCTGTGAGGTTTCAATGCAGCAAAGCACTGCGATCTTGGAGGAGAAGGCATGGCAGCCCAGTCTAGTTCGTGAAGCTCTTTCCCGGCAGCACTCTCATCCGTCCTTTGAGCAGCTTCTTTTGTGATCTTGTGAACCACCTTGTCAGCCCGTCCCGCCACTGCCTTCTGGCGGGGTCTTGACCGTGAAGGTGGCTCGGACAGGAGTTGATTGCATGTCTACCAGCGGCTTTGTTTGCATGTGCTTTGCATGTGCTTTCTTGCATGTGCTAGCTTGCATGTAGATTCGGCCTTTTTGGTCCTTCGAAATTGTCTGCGATTTCAACCAAAAGTCAAGCTCAAGCATCGTCAAGCGCCCCGCTATTGCAACGTTTCCTTGCCATGCTCGCTCACGAGCGACAGTGTCCACCACCACGGAACGTTTGATGTTCAAGGTTCTGGGTACTATCTTTACACAGCTGAACTGCTCTGAGCTGCCGTGGTTTTTTGATATTTAGGAGCCCTGGTGTTGCGGTCACCCATGTCCGCATCCTGAACCTTCATGGCCCCTACACGAGCACAGTGGCTGCTGCTGGCGACAGCTGCAAAGAGTGCGGATGTGGTGTCGGAGGCCTCCGGGAATGTGCCAGCTATCGTTGCAGTTGCACAACACTTCCAAGCAAGAGACTGACAGAGGCAGACAGAGGCAGACCGAGTCAGAGAGAGAGAGAGAGAGAGAGACAGCAGAAGAAGAAGAAGAAGAAGAAGAAGAAGAAGAAGAAGAAGAAGAAGAAGAAGAGGAAGAGGAAGAGGAAGAGGAAGAGGAAGAGGAAGAGGAAGAGGAAGAGGAAGAGGAAGAGGACGAGGACGAGGACGAGGAAGAGGAAGAGGAAGAGAGGACGAGGACGAGGGAGAGGAAGCGAGGACGAGGACGAGGACGAGGACGAGGACGAGGACGAGGACGAGGACGAGGACGAGGACGAGGACGAGGACGAGGACGAGGACGAGGAAGAGGAAGAGGACGAGGACGAGGAAGAGGAAGAGGAAGAGGAAGAGGAAGAGGAAGAGGAAGAGGAAGAGGAAGAGGAAGAGGAAGAGGAAGAGGAAGAGGAAGAGGAAGAAGAAGAGAGGAGGCGGAGGAGGAGGAGGAGAAGAAGAAAAGAGGAGGAGAGGGGTCTTCTAGCGTGCAGAAGAAGAAGAGAGCAGCACAAAGCGTTTTCATAGTTACACCACGAGTGAGAGCCGCGGGAGTGAGCCCCGAAACCACTGCGAGCTGTTGTGGGTCGGCTTACAACATACTTGATGTTCTTCCCGTTAGCTTTACCTTCCCCTAGTCCAAAGCCTGCCTGCGCCCACAGTGTTGACTCCCCCGAAGCGGGCACAGGAGGTCCTTGGGAGGTGCAAACCGCATCCCCAGCCACCGAGCTGGGGCGCAAAATCCACACGTGGTGATGACGACGATGACGATGACGATGGCGTTGCCGATGACGATGCCGATGACGATGACGACGACGACGACTGCCACGACGACGACGACGATGATGATGATGATGATGATGATGATGATGATGCTGATGATGACGATGATGATTATGTCGTGTTACCTCTTGCGATTATGCAATGCCAGGGCAAGGCCTCGTTGATGTTTTTAAGGGAAAGGTCCCGCCCAATCCCTCTGCGTCGTGCTTCAAAAAGCTGAACAAACAAAATGGCCTTTAGATGTACACATACACACATGGGTTAGCTTGCTGCGCTTGCTGCGGAGCTCGAATCGGACGCTGGCTTGAGCCTCTCGCACCTGCAGGCCCTGCTAAGCGGCCGCAGCGCCTTCGTTCGGTTCTATGCTCCGTGGTGTGGTCACAGCGAGGCCAGGCTTAGACCAGACAGGCATCTAGTATCTTTTGAGTTGCCAAGGACACAGTGTGTTTAAGGTAGGTGCAGCTGTACGATCCAGGCCATGCAGCCGGAATGGCAGAAGCTGACCAAAGCATACCAGGGCTCAGGCTCTGGCTGGGCTTTGGCTTGCGGAATTAGTCGAAGAAGCGTTGTGAAGGCTGTCCGAGTCTGCTAACGCTACTGCAGGCGAGATGGTCATTGCTGACGTGGATTGCACAACGCCAGACAACGAGGACAGACGCCAGGGGCCGACTTTTAAGCCGAAGGTGCAGGCCGCAAAGCAATCGAATGTATGCTGCATGATGCTGCCCCATGCATTCCGCGTCCTGCGTTGTATCCCTGCCCTGACGAAGCCCTGCTCTTGCAGGAGCTGTGCCATGATCAGTCCATCGAGTCTTACCCGACAGTCAAGTACTTCAACACTGCCACAGGCCGATTTCCTTGTTAAGCAATTTGGGCAAGGGGCACGTGTTGTGCGTGCTACGTAATCATGGGTTCATGGGCAGGTCCTTCGGGAGCCTATGCCGACGCAGCTTGGCAACCCTTTCCACATCTATATCCCATGAAATGACATCCTTGTTTCAATATTTTTCCACATTTTCAGTTCTAAGAACTAAGAGAGCATTTTGTGGTTTTTTGGTCAAGACCCGGCCTTCTTCCTGAGAGGCCCGCGACTACGAGTCCCTCCTGCGCCTTGCCGACCGTGTGAGGGCCAGGCGCCAGAAGTGAATTCCAGCGAGGTAAGGGCATCCAGAGATCTGGTCAAATATCTGCATCCGCAGTGGTCCGTGATTGTTGTGCGAAGTTAAGCATGTGAGGGGTCGGTGTTTAAAGATTGCAGCTCGAAGGTGCAACCCGAGAACGAAGCAGGACGCAGAAGTCTGCGAAGCATTTGCGCTGTCCGTTTACATCCGCTTCCTTCAGTGGGACAGTACAAACCTGCCCGTTTTGAGTGTCTAGCTAGGACTGCGACGCTCGTCAGAGAGCCTACATCGACAGGATGCAGCTCCGATGCACAGACGCTCACACGTACCACCTTGCATTGTGGCATTGTGCTGTCATGAAGGGGTATTTGCACAGATGTTGGAGACACGGTTTCGGGGCCGCCCCAGGCAGCGTCGAAGTGCTACAGAACGAGAGCACGAGCTTACCCGGTCACTCCCTGAAAAGGGCAGAGGGAGTGGGGAGTGGGCGGGGGCTTGTCACGGCTCATCCTCGTGGCAGGAGGTCCGGTGTATTGCATGATTTTGCCAGGCTATTACGGCTGACCCTTGGAGAGACTTCCGCTGCCAGGCGCGGCACACAGGCTTAGTCTAGGCCAGGCTTTGTGGAGGTATTGGGGAGGAACCCCGCTCGCTCAGACACTGCTGCGACCCGCAAACCTGTGAGGCAAGCATGGCTCACCAACAGGATCGCCCTGCTGCAGGGACTGGAAGGTCCGTGACGGTCTTTGCAGGGGGTCGTTTCAAGTTGGCCAAAATTAAGGCGCTGAGGGGTTGCACTCCCTGCACTTAGAGTCTAGCATCAAGACGCATCAAGATGCATTCAAGGTTCTGGTCACAGCACAGGTCAAAGCACTGACGAGCTCTGATTCGACGCCTATGGAGAGCAGTGCCGCGGAGCAGTGGCCAGCAATGCTCTGTGCGCTTTGAGAGCTGTGCAAGGTCCAGGAGAAGGAGAGAGCTCGTCGTGGAAGCTTCTTGCAGCCCTCCCTGCAACATCTTGCAGCATGCCTTCAAAATGGGGAGCAAGAAGGCCAGGGTGCACGCCGTGCAAAGGCCACAGCAGCTGGCTGGCACTGGTTCCTGAAGCTCGGTCATGCGGGAGACGAGGCGGAGTGGATGTGCCCTGGTGAGCGCGGCACCGAGACATACCGAGACCGGCAAGCTCTTCACAATGAACGCTTTGCAGTGGAATCGGGTGGACTGGGTAGACCGAGTTGACGGTGTTGTGCACACGGCCTCGCGTGGCACAGTGAAAGACACGGCCTCGCGTGGCACAGTGAAAGAGCGGAGACGTCTGCACGGAGAGTTGACCTGGCTCAGTGATCCCAGTAAATTGTACTGGCTGCGGGCTTGATGATTTCTGTGAGTGCCAGGTCCTGCCGAATGGGAATGAAGAGGCTCGGTGTGTTGTGGTGCTGCGCATTCCCTCCGGTGCCCTGTGTTGCATCAACGGGCAAGGGGAAGCCGTGCCGGTAGGTTACTATCCAGTACTCTGAAGATGTCTTGAGTGGTGCTGCACTTAATGCTGCAGCTGAGCCGAACTGTCAATGCTCTTCAGCAACCAGATGAGTCGCACTTGTTTCAGATTGGTTGACATATGTTGATATTATACGTTCCATGTGAAAAGAGGTATCAGATGGTACTCCGCGACTCTCACGCCCAGTTTCCTTTTTTTCGCTGGCCCAACCCCAGCGCCGTTTCGGTTCTCGTACCGGCCACGGCGATGCCGCGGGCCTTCGGGCACGATGGCAGACTCCAAACGGCCTGCCGAGGCATGAGAGGGTTGAATAGGGTTGAGAGACTCTTGCATTGGCATTCTCTTCACACGCATGTGTCGAGTCTCGCGTTTCGCAGGCGGTCTCGCTGTTTGCTCTTCCCTCAGCGGCGACATGGAGGCTGAAGCGGGTGGCGGAGGAGGAGGTGCACCCTTTCGCCTAGAGACCTAACAGTGTACAGTTCGGTGTTTACGAAGAACGTTTGGTTAAAGTTGTTTGCTTGAAGGAGCCCCTGCTCAAGCGACAGAAGGCCGCTGCTGAGTGCAGATGTCGCCCACTCTTTACACACTTTGTGCTCTTTTTCATTAAAAGGAAGCGGTTTGTTAGCAGCTGGATTTGGCTTTGAGCCGTCAGGGTGAGCAAGCCGATGCCGAGGAGCCCGGCGCAGCACCTCGTCATGTGACGCGAGCAGCGTAGACAGAAGAGCCCCCCATGATGATCCACGCTTTACATGTGCTTCCACTATCGCTTAGTAATATCCAAAGTCGCGGGGGGACATTCCCCTACACGACCAGAAAACTCGCATTCTTATAGGTCTTACACAGCTTTTGTCGAAGTCATCTCATCCGAAGGGGAAGTGTCAAATTTTGCCTCCGAGGCTGGGGTGACGGACGCCGAAGGCGATGAGGTCTGCCAAGGGATGGGCTGGACCCTTCGATCCTGTCTGGAGACCCTTCGATCCTGTAGACCCTATAGAATCAGACCCTACGGACCCTACAGCCCAAACCCATTGCAATGTCCTCCCCTCGTAAGGCCTCAGACAGCTCCTCCAGCGACGAGAGCGACACTTCCTCTTCGAGTTCTGTCAGCTCGGCCGCAAGGATGCATCAAGATGCATCAGGGCTTCGGATTCATGGCACGCCGTCCATGCCGCTGTCGAGGGTCGTCGTCGCATAGCGTGACTGGCTCAGTGTTCTGTTGAGGAAAGCTCCTCAGATGACGAGAGCGAAGCACCTGTCTTGGACCCTGGCTTGTGCTCATTGCATCTCAGTGCTGATCAGGAGGCACAGGTTCAGTCATTTTTCTCTGGCCCATCGCGAGGCAGCCGCGGATGTTCAAGCGATGCCCAAAGAGGACGAGCCTGCGTGCCCACCTCGCGTACGCGGTGACCGTGTGTTTTCTGTGGCTTCGACGGGGCTGCGAAGAAACATCGGCACCTGCAGACCTCCGCCTAGCTCAACTGAAGCTAGGGCCTTCGTGCAGTCATCAGTTGTAGTTGACGTGTTGACCTGGAGGGCTTCCGGTGTTTTACAACCGTTGCATGTTTCGGCGAAAGCAACCCACATTTCGCACGATTAGCATCAATGTCGTAGTCTGAATGCCGCGCAAACTTTCGAAGCTTGAGAAGCATCCCGTCCGACCGACGAAAAGAGATTTTTGCGCGCTGGGCGGTGACAGAGCGGATCGAGTGCCCGAGGCGCTGAGCTGTGAACCTGCTGCTGATCTGCCTCCGGAGGAGCCCGTGGTAACTCGGTGACGAGTAGGGCAGACGGAGTAAGCTTTTCCCCATCTACATAAGCCAGCCTCGTTTACGTTTGCCTCAGCTTCAGCTTAATGGCTGCTCTGTGGTTGTCTGACAGAGGAGCACGCCTCACACATCAAGAGTGCTTTTGTGCTCGTGAAGGCGGAATACTCTTGGTTTCCCTTGGTGCACTGGGGGGGCTTGTCATCGTTGCAATCAGACGCAGTACTATGAAGCCGTACGACCTTGAAGCCTTGTCATTGCAAGCTCCGAGCTATGGCCAGCCAGGTTACTGAGATGAGCGAGGTCATGCCGAGGTGGTCTGCACAGAGCCTTCACCTGCATCGCGTGCAGAACCTGGAGTTCCCGAAGGAGGCAAGCCCAGCAAGCAACATTGACATTGCTCCGATGCTAGGAAGAATCGGTGGACCCTTGCACAACAACCGTTACAAAGACTAATCTTCGAGACTTTGAGCTCGGAAGGACTCAGAGACGTTGAAGAGATGTTTGGTAGTGGTAGCAGTAGTGGTAGCAGTAGAGAGAGAAGAGAGAGAGAGAGAGAGGAGACAGAGAGAGACAGGCGAGCTCCAACATGCTGATTTCTGGTGTGACCGCTCAGAGGGTGCGGCTTTGGGATGTCCTCAGCTGTGCCCGGCAAGGTCAAGGTGCTGAAGTACAGCTGCGCTGCAAGCGAGGACCGATGTATCGGTTCGGGAAGCTCCGAATGCTGAGTGCAAGGTGGGTCTGTCAGGAGTCACTGAGAAGCTGTTAAAGTATCAGCTGTGAGCAATGGTGTGATCCAGGCCATGAGCTCAGAAACCAGGGAGCACCAAGGGCCTTAAAGCTTAGGGCACACCGAAGACACCGGCTCTTCGTGCAAAATGTCCTTCCTCTGCGTTTTTTTGTCTCCTGTTCAGCTGTGCAGGCCGAGCAGCTGGAGCAGTGGTGCAAGGTGTTGAACCGCAGGGTGCCCAGAAATCTCTCAGCAGACTAAACAGACTGAAAACTGAGCGAGGCTTCGGAGAGCCTCGGAGAGTTTCGGAGAGCTTCGGAGCATGGAGCTTTGCCCTAAGGTTGTCGCATCGATCCCGATCTGTATCTCGAACGCATGCAGGAGAGAGCCTCACAGATCTGCAGGAGCCGCTTTGTGGAATTGAGGTCTCTGTGCATGGGATTTCTAAGAATAAGATTGAGGAAGCTTCTTTCTGTTGAGACTTCCAGGAGCAAGGTTATCGAATACGATGGGCTGACCGTGGCTCGCATCTGTCGCGAAAGAAGCCGCCTGTCAGCTCTTAATTTTAAACGCTACGCGACCCGCCTCGGGCCCGGCCCAGCGCATCCGCGTGAGCATGGTGATTCCGCAGCGCCAAGTCGCTGGACCCAAGCAGGGTTGGGGTTAGGTTTAGGGTTCCGGGTTTATGGTTTATGTTGGGTTTTAGGGTTGAGGGTTAGTTTAGGATTGAGGGTTAGGGCTCAAGGTTCATGCTTGGGGTTTAGGGTTTTTTGGGTTTAGGGTTCAAGAGACGGTTCAGGCTTGGATTGATCGTAGGGTTGAGCCAGGCCCTCAGGGGGGGGGGTAGGGGTGGGGGAGGGGGGGGCAGGGGAAGGGGGGGGGGAGCTAAGATTTAAGGTTTCGGGTTTCAGCTTAGACTTTTCCCGGCCGTGCTCACACCTGACCTCGAAAATTCGGGAGGGCGAGGTAGGGGGGGTGGGGGGGGTTGGGGGGGGGCCCTGCTGGGAGGGGCTTCAACTGCCTCTGGTGCTGGCGAACCGTCCGCTTGGTTTCCCAGGGGGGGTACCCATTTGAGGCAAAACAAGGGGTTCGGAAATTGGGGGGAGGATTTGGAGGGGGGTGCCTGTTCTGACAACCTATACACCTCTGGCCCGAGGCCTCGGCGGATTCTCTCAGTTCCTTTGAGTTCTCTTTGCGTGTTGAACAGAGACTCCAGCGTTTATGCCTCGTTAAGACCTGTCTGGAAAGGATTTCGGGATGCTGGTTTCTTTTTCAATTCTTGTTTAACCACGCAGCTTTTTCGTTTTTATTTTTTTGCTTTTTCTCTTTTGCTTGCCTTAACCAGCTGCATGTGTGTCGACTTTGAGGCCAATCGAATTCGATGCTCAGAAACAGTCTCGAATGGCTTGCGAGGTACAGCATCCCTGCTGCATTCAAGCGACAGGTTCCTGGTACCCTGGTTGGGTAGATGCGCGAATGGCCTGAGAGCAAAGGATCGGCTTGACGCAGATGGACATTAGCAGCCTCCGGGAGTTTGAAGTGCTCCAGCTCGGCAAGGAGCATGACGCTTGGTGTCGCAGAGCTGAGATGAGCTGAGGGCATCAGTGTATGGTTCATGTCGCCTGGCATCCCTCGCTCGAGGCATGTAGGGCGGGCAGGAGTAGTTTCCCGTGGGAGTGGAGACGGTGTATGCCGTGGTGATATGTTGCTGTACCTCTGAACTGAGGAAATAGCAAAGAAACATCTGCATGAGATGCAAAAGAAGGACACATAGAGGGCTGCAGCACCATCGTCAGGGGCTCCTTTCTGGGCATGAGTGACATACTTGAGTGGTGCTGGTCCTTTGGCACGTAGATTGGTTGTGCAGGAATACGACAAGCACGAAGAATGGTTCCAGCACACACCTGGCCTTTTCAGCTGGTGACCCAGACCCAACTTGCACCATCACGATCCTCCTTGCGATGTGCTCGCCGGCCTTCTGCTGTGCACGAAGCCAGGAAGCCTTGATCGAATGTCAGGTGCGAAGGAGGTCAATCGAATGAACCACGACCGCCAAGTCCGAGATGACAAGCATGCGCTGCAGTAGCTTGGTGGCAGCTTGTAGTGCGCCAACAAATCCTTTTTTGTATGGCACAGTCTTGATGAGCTTCGCCCACCATAGCACCGTGAGCAAGCCTTGCAATACATGATGCCGGTCCCCCCCCCCCCCCCCCCGCCCCCGCCCCTCGCTGTTTAGGGTTTTGGTCCCTCCCCCCCCCCGGCTTTCCCCCCGTGGTGTGGTTGGGGGGTTGGGGGGGGTCATGCTTTAGGGTTTAAAGTTAAATTTTTAGGGGAGGGCAGTTTAGGTTTAGGGGAGGGAGGGGGGAGACCATTCGCGGGTGGGGGGTCGGCGAACCCACGGGATTTTTTCGTTGTTACATATATGTCTGTACGTACGGACGTATGTGTGCGTGGGTGTGAGAAACGTCCTTGTGCATGCGACATGCAGAACAGACGAACAGAAAAGGATGAGGGGGTAGCGGTCCTTTCAGCAGCTTCGGCCAACACTGATGCTTTTGATTGGGTCTGGTTTCATCTTGGGACGTCCGAGTATGTACTGGCTGATGGTTGACTTAGAGGCAAAACGACGCAGCCTGCTGAAGGGGCTCAAGAGGAGAATGACACAAGCGTCAATCAGCTCCATGCAGATTGTCAAAGGTACGCCCTTGACAATGAGAAGAGGGAGGAGACCTGGGCCTTGGGGGGATGAGGGGAGGCAGAGGCCCGCAACCCCTCAAAATCTTGCCGGACCTTACCCATGCTCAGGACGCAGAGACCGGACGACTGAATCCCTTCGAGAGAAGGCGCCCGTCAGTGTCTTCTGGGTAGTGATGTATCAGTGATGTATCATGCTGGAGACCAGCTCAAAAAAAAAACAAGTGCCTTGGCTCCAAGGGCTCATGTTAGTGGCTGATTCTTTCAGGCGATGTTCTAGGGGGAGACATGTTTTCTGCAAACAGTGTGTCAACACAGAGTTTCTAACTTGCAGGGCAAGCCCCGAGCGGTGCGTTTTCCTCGAAGCTTGCTCGCACTTTGTGCTCGTCATCCCTTGAAGCTGTCGTGGCTTTTTGGCTTCTGTGTTCGCCAAATGCGAAATGGTCATCCCTTTTGGACGTTTGTGTTCTCCCGCTTTTGGGCGTCCGTGCTCGCCAGATGTGGAGAAGTCGTCGCATTGGGCGTCCGTGTTCGCCAAATGCCAAAATGTCGTCGCTTTTGGACGTCTGGGCTCGCGAAATGCGAAACTGTCTTGGTGTCTTTTGGAAGTGCTCTTGATCCATTGGAATGCTTTGGCGTCTCCACATGGTCTCCCAGGGGCATATTCTGTGAGGTGTTGTTCCATAGAACTGCCTCTTGTCCACTTGATTGCAGGGCTTGCCGTCCAGTGTCTGCCTGGGACACGCGCCTCAGTCAAAGCGAGGAGCATGGGCGAAGGTGATCGAATATCATTCGGAATGTTCTGGAATTCAAGGCTTAGGGGTGGAGTTCTTCTGGTGGGTGCTGGGGCTTGACTCGCTAGACCCCTCTCTGAAAGCTGGGTTGGCCTTGCACTGTGCAGAGGCGTCCCATTGAGGCCACGCTCCTCAATTTGCAACCCTTTGTGAGATCCCAGCGAGCCTTGCAGAGGATCTTGAGCGGTGGAAGAGTGCGAATGTTGCCGGGGCCCTTGCAGATCTAAGGCCATGCGCCATGCTTGTCATAGTTTCAGCCATGCAAGCGCACGGTGGTTTAGAGCTGGATGTAAGTCGGCTGTCGATTGTCTTCAGGAATGAAATGCAAAGTCAAGCGTCTTGAGATGACTGGGGGTTTATTCAGAGAGTCCGAAGAGAGTCCGAAGAGAGTGTGTGTGTGTGTGTGTGTGTGTGTGTTTGTTTGTTTGCATGGCTTGATCTTGGGCTGCGCAAGCGCGGACCGACGATGGAGATCCCAGAAGTCGGCCGTGAGTAGGCATCTCGGAGCAAGAGTGTCCCACACGGACGCTCCTGAGTGACACGGGGTCAGTACGCTACAGAAACTTGTGCTAGGATGGGAACGAAGGTGTGCTTGCGTGGCCGATTCCGGGGCCTGGTGTGCGAGACTGGAGACGCGGGTGGCTACCGCCGAGCCAGCGCGAGGGTGAAGTGGTCGACGTACTACAGACGGAGCAGGGGCGTGCTCGCTGCAGCTGTGGGTTCGAGGAAAACGTTTGTTGATGCTGTGAGCGGCTTCCATCAAATCCGTAACACCAAAGAGGGCCCGGGAGGTGCTTGCCATAGTTGCCCGTTCGGGCCGTTTGGGTGAATACCTTCCGGATCCTTCCGGTCAGACCCACTTTTGGTCCAGTGAAGGGTCCCGACGATATCAGCTTCGTCGTGGACCAGGCGGGCTTCGTTATACAAACGAGTGGATCGCCGACGTTGACGACCTGACAGTCCGGAGTGGACGTGTCATCAACGGGCGGTTCTTTACGGACGCCGAAGCCGATGGGGCGGTGTTCGAGGCGTGCGCTAACTGTCACTGGGCGCACGCCTGGGCGCACGCTCTCGTGCTTTCTTGTTCTTGTTGCTCTTGTGGGTGCTGCTGGTGCCTGGCCAAGAGGCAAGACCACATGCCGGGCCGATATCCATAGAAAGTCGACAATACTGGAAAAGTATCCCTGTTTCATCTCTCATCCGCAAATGGGTTTGCTGACAGGGGTGCGAAATTTGTGCCCGGTCGGACACAGTATTGTCAAACAAATGCTGGACAAACTGCTCAGACGAACTAGCCCCAGAACACTCTTCGCATCTCAGGGGTTTCTTACGTCTTACAGTCTTACATGTCGGCAGTGGTATCTCTGGCATCACAGATCCCCAGACGCCTTTCCCAGGGGCTACGGTCGGAGGCCACGCGCGCTGCGGAGGCAGATGAGAAGGGCTGCATTCGACAGACTGCTGGGACGAGAGGGAGCTGCAAGATGGAGGGATATTGAAGGGCATCGCGAGCCCGCTGAAAGCAGGTCAAGCTCAAGTTCACGAAGGAGGCAAGCCGCCAAACGGAGCCTCTGGGCTTTTGTGGGTTTGCCGACACTCCACGCAGCGTCAGTGCAGTCACAAGATGAACGCCTGCGTCTCACCACATGTGCGCAGACATACATGTCTGCAGACTTTGAGAAGGATTTAGGATGTTTTCGGCGCTATCTGGAAATGCCTGTCTGCAACATGTCAGGGGAAGGAGGCAAGTGTGGAGGACGCGTGCCGACACAAAGTGACATCAGGATTGCAGGATTGCAGGCTGGCCATGTCGCTTTGAAGGAGCCGGCAGTCCCTGCCGGGCCCAATTCGGATGAAATGGAGGCAAGCGATTGCATCACTGTGTGGCTTCAGAAAGGCAGAAGGCAGCATGTTCGAAAGTGTTGCGTTGCTCCTCCAAATGTCAACAGCATCTTGAGATGATCTTTTTGGCGAGGCAAAGAAGAAGGGTGTGGAGGCCGCAAGAGCGACACGTCTGACATTCTTTCTGTAATGATGGGTGCTGCAGGATCCGCCAGTTCCTGCCGGTGCAAACTCGGATCGGCCGGATCGGATCCAGGCACCGCGTTGAAAGAGTGCTCTTGTGTGGTAGGGTTTGTTCGGCAAAAACATGCAGAACGGGATGTCAGTCATTTCGTGAAGAGATTCAGGCGCAAGACCTTGCCGCACAAAAGCTCGAAGCAGAGCGGCGCAAGGCGGATTTTGTCATTTGTGGTTGTGACCAGTGAGGGTCTGCGTAGCTGGAATGGAGGGAGTGCTGTTGAGAAGCTCAAAAGGCAGCATCGAGCGCATGAAGCCGACGCAAAACAGCAAGCAGGTTCCCGGGAACCGACCACCGGGCCACCAAGACATCCAAAACAAAACGCCCTGACTGGTGGTCTACAGATGATTGGGGGCCCTTGCAAAGCCCAGAAAAGGGCCCGGCCGCAGGACTTGTAGGGGAGGCACAGGGAAGGGGAATAAGTGTTGAATAAAGGAGAGTTGTTTCGTTTACGGCCGCTTTCGGCCTGGGGCCTGCCCTGTATCGAGTTGTGCCTGCAGGTCAACCTTGAACTCCTGGCTCTCCTGAAGAAGAATTACGCTGAGACGTGAGGTGCAGCATCGAAAAAGCACCCGTGTGGTCGCAAGCATCCGCGCCAGCTTGTGCCGCAACCCGTCCTCTGGGCAAGACGGGCGTCAGCCAACAGTCAAAGCTTTAAGTCTTAAGGCTCGCTTTGAAAATATGGGCCGCGAATTGGCGAAACCCACGACACTGTCTAGAGTAGAGAAAACATAAAAGCATATGAGTATGATTCAAGGTGCGACTCAGTATGACGGGATATGGGCGCATCTCACTGAACGAGGCCGGGCCTGGCATCGGTGGAGCCGCGACGTCCGAGCGCTCGCAGCCATGGCACAACTTCGCTGGCAGGCGGTCCTTGTTGAAGAATCTTCCGGTGCATGAATTCAATCAAACGTTTAGGATCGCTTCGACCTTCTTCTTTAGAGACTTGTTCTGCTGCCTTCGTTTTCGGTTTTGTCCGTGAGGCCGCTTGCCTGGACCTGGCTGAGGCGCCTTCCGGGCCAGCAGCTCAGGGTCCACAGGAGTCCACGAGAGAGAATCCACTGTCAGAGGTCTAAGGCGTCTAAGGTCTTGGTCCAAGGTTGGTTGTAGGACTTGGTTGGATAACCTCCTTTGCAGGCTCCAGCTGCAGTCGCTGCCCCAGGCCAGACTTTGGTTGACCTCACTTTCACGGCATCTGTGCACTCGAAACATCTCGAAACATCACAAAAAACATCTAGTGACCTTGACTCGCTCACTTGCCTCACGTACTCTCACGTACTGCCCACACGAAGCACTCGTGTGATCTTGGCATCTCTTGCCAGGCGCTGCGGATCCGGCTGCCAGCCAATGTTCCAGGAAAGGAGGTCTTCGAGGTCTTCGAGCTGGCTGGGCCGCCTGGGGTAGGCTTCGTGGATGCCAGGGTGCTGACCCAGTAAGTTGGGTTCGGATCAGGCAAATCTACATAATGTGTATACATATATATATATATATGTACACGTAACATGCATGTGTGCATGTGTGTATGTGTATTAATATACGTAATATATATATATATATATATATATATACTAGAGCTGACCCGCTGCTTCCAGCAGCGGCGCGCAAGACGACGACGACGGCGCACGACGCACGACGACACGTGCTTTGCTGCATAGAGCCTGCTTGACCATGACAAGCGCTCTGTTTCATACAACAAGAAGACGGTTATCCATCAACAAAACTTCCAATATAAGAAGTATAAGAAGACCGCATCCGTTCTCTACGTGCTGAGCTACGTAGAACTTGCTTGACCATATTAGATACTTTGTTTCATATAACAAAAGTACGGGCATCCAAGATAAGAAGGCTGGCTATATTACGTAAAGATGAGTTGATCATGATACACGCTCTGTTTCATAGACACGGGCATCCAAGATAAGAAGGGTTCATCCATTTCCTAAATTTCATTCTGTTCTCCACGATCTTCGTGGATTTTTGAAATCCTCGAATATCTATAATTGGTGATTTTGGGCATAGATGTCGTTCGCACCTAAGATGAAATTTTCAGTATAGGCGGCTAACGTAAATTTCCTGAAAATTTTGGGCGTATAAATTTTCTGAAAATTTAGGAAAATGATGAAGTAAATTTTCCAGAATTTAGACCGAAATTTCGGGCTACCCAAAACCAGAATTTTCCGTAAAATTTTAGGGCTAGAACACTCCGACGTGTAGCGTACCGCATAAGACTAAATTGACCATAATGTTTTATAGAGTCGACGTACGACGCACGACGTAAGACAACGACGACGATACGCGACGACGCCGGACGACGACGCGCGCGACGACGACGACGCATCACGACGACGACACGCGACGACGACTTCGCGCGACGACGACGACGCCACCCACGACGCACGACGCGCGAGACGTGCGACGCCCGAAACACGACGACGATGACGACGCCCGACGACGACGACGACACCCGACCCCCGACGCCCGACGAAAGACGCCCGACACCCGACGCACGACGCACGACGCACGACGCACGTCGCAAGACGCACGACCCACGACGCGCGACGCGCGACGCACGACGACGACGCCCGACGACGACGACGACGACACCCGACGATGACCACGACGACGACGACGATGACGACGACGACGACGACGACGAACGACGCACGACGCACGACGCACGACCCGCGACGCACGACGCACGACGCACGACGGACGACGCACGACGGACGACGCACGACGACGACGACGACGCACGACGACGACGCACGACCCACGACCCACGACCCACGACCACACGCACGCACGACGCACGACGACGACGACGACGACGACGACGACGACGACGACGACGACGACGACGACGACGACGACGACGACGACGACGACGACGACGACGACGACGACGACGACGACGACGACGACGACGACGACGACGACGACACGACGACGACGACGACGACGCACGACGACGACGACGACGACGACCTGGTAATGCCAGGTAATGCGCTTTGTAATGCCATAAAACAAAGCACGCTCGTAATATCCTGGTAATGCCAGGTGATGCGCTCATCTTGGAAGTGAAGTAAAAGTCCTGTTTAATATTTTAGCTTTGTAATGCCACAAAACAAAGCACGATTGAAAACAATGAAAGCATGCAATGAAAGCATGCAGCAACATGGCAAATGATCAACACCTGAACTCAACGGTTCAAGCGGTCAACAATGCTTCGACATTTTCGGCCACCCAGCACCCTAAATTTTCCGGAAATTTAGGGAGCTGGGCCGTGGCTTCTGAACATGATCAGGCTGCATCCGTTTCCTAAATTTCCTGAAAATTTTGGGTGTGTAAATTTTCGGAAAATTTAGGAAAGCGATGAAGCAAATTTTCCGGAAATTTAGGGACCGAGGCTTCGGGCTACCCGGAGCCAGAAATTTTCCAGAAATTTAGGGGAGCGAATCCGGCTTGCGGCCGTCGAAGAGGCCCAGCCTTTCAAAGGGCACAGCCCAAGCCCCAAAATTTCCCGGAGATTTTGGGTCCCGGGTAGGCCAAAGCGGCTTGCTCGCCGGGGTCCAGAAATTTCCGGAAAATTTTGGGGCTGGGGCACTCCGAGGCGTGACGCACCGCATAGGGCTGGTTTGACCGTAGCGTTTTATAGAGTAGATATACGTATATGTATACATACATACATACATACAGACATACATACCATTGTGCCTGGCCAAAGCATCACCGCTGTTCTCTTATGCTCGAAGATCGCTTTGAGGCAGCAGCGAGCCCACATCAGAGCAACTGACCCTAACCAATGACAATGAACCGATAGCCTGACATAGCACCAGACTTCTAGTCTCCCGCCGCGCAGGCGCACACACCTGAAGCCTAGGCCCTACAAACAAGCAGCACTGACCGAGCTTCTGTGCCCGGATGCTTCAATGGCCTCGACAAAGGGCGAGGACCCTTGTGCTCTTGACATGCTCTCCGATCATCCTTTCATCATCTTTTTGCGACAGGACGCCGATCCGGGCGGGTCCCATGCAGCGACTCGGCTCCGGAGTGTTCGCAACTTTGTGCACGATACGTGTGTGCTGCCGCTACTTCATTTGTGATTCGTGCAAGAACACAGCAGCCTCGGGACAGGCTTGGGAGGGCTTCGGCAGTGAGCTCAGGTCTCTTCCACGGCTGCACTGCCAGGGTCAGTGGACAGTGTCGAGGCGCCTCACTCTGATTCTGTCCGCATCTTTCATTTTTTTTTAAATTTTTTTCCTTTCCACCTCAGAGCCTCACCCGAGGGCCACACGAAGCACACTCGCATCGCCTCCCCTGAGCCGGAGGTGGGGGGCGCCTTGGGAGAAAGAGAAACGTTCACGATGTAGTTCCACGATCGATGTAAGTCATCCGCACTTGTGGTTGAAGCCTTCGAGCCTGGGTTCATTTCACTTCAGAACGCAACAGTTCACCAAGGCTTGTATGGTTCGGCTGTTCGGTGCGAGAGAGCTGCTGCTATCCACTTACAATCTCCCGGCAGGAAACCTCGGTGGCCGTGGCGCCTCCCGACGATGCGCCACCGAAGTGTGCGCCGTGGCTCAAAAGTCGGACAAGTAGGTTCAGCGGGTGCGGATGAGCACACTTTGGGTGCACCGTGCCTTGTCGCGCAGTCTGCTGTGGGTAGTCTCAGGCAACCCCAAACAGCCATGGGAAGTCTTACATCGAGCAGAAGATCGGTGACATGGCTTACAATTTTTTGCTTCTAGATGGAGGTGGGAGGCTGTCTTGAATGGCTGCGGTTGCAGCACATTTTCTTGCTGCACGGCCAAGAGTGGACCTGTTTCTCAGTGCAAGGTAGCAGCTTTATGGAGTGAGGGCTCGAGGAAGAAGTGGAACGAAGGAATCTCATTCGTAAAGTTGCGGCTGCCGTGCCAGAAGTAGCTTCCCAGAGATGACCAGGATTCGAGAGACCATGGCACATCAGGGGATGACTTGGAATTGAACAGGCAGTGTTTCAAGTAGCCTTCAGCAGGTGCCTGGGTGTCCTTCGGCACCTTGCATTCCGATGCGATGAGTGCGAACATGGAGGCAGGCGAGAACCGGTGTGTGTAGAGTCACCAGTGCATCTTGTGTACAAGCAGATGACACTGCAGAGAATGTTGCAGTTGCACAAGTACCTTTTGGGACCATACATTCAACGAATCGAGACAGAGAGACCACTGGAGCCGAGGATCCCTTCCCTGCCGTGAGCTGGCAGTGGGAGCACCGGAGTGGTTCCTCGCAGCAGAGACTTTGCGAGAGAAGCGGGGAGGAGAGGGAAAAAAGGCACACGAGAACGAGGAGGAAGATATGAGGGTACAAGAAGACCAGAAATCGATGTGGAGGAAGATAGACGGCGCTCGGGACAAGACGCGGCGCTTCTGCAGTTGCTTTTTTGGGCTGGTCACCGTGCATCCCCTGAGGTTGGCGAGATTATTCCCGCAAAGTAAGCACGAAGATCGAGCATGCCTATCGTGCCGGGGAGACCAAGACCAGGGTGCAGACTGGGAAGTGCCCTGGCATGTTTTGGTGTGTTCTCCGATGGCTTGCCACAGGTGCGTATTCGGTGTGTGCATCACAGAGTGAGTACTTGCAGGAAAGGATCCGTTCCCATGGAGATCTTCTTTGAGGCGAGCCTGTGAGCGAGCTTTGAGCTCGGACAGGTTGATTTGAGAAGGTTCTCCTGAACCACTACAGCCCGGGTGCACCGACTAACATCGAAGAACCGATTCCGCAGGACATGCTTCAGCATGACCCCATCTCTGGCAACACCCGGAACGTGAACAGGAAGGGTGCGTTTAGCACCCGATGCTTGTCCATGTGAGCTTAGCCACTGCCGGTTTGCATTTTTTTCATATATTTTTCTCCTGGAAGTTGTTCACGTCATGTGCTTTTTAGTGACCTGTTGGTGCCCTTGCAGTCGCTTGGTGCAGTTCTAGCGTGTAGCGAACAGAATTGACCATGTCGGTATGCCTTCAGCACCCGAGGGCAGAAGCTCGTTCGCTTCTTGGGTGGCGTGATCAGGACCCAGATGCTGCAATGCAGCACAGACACACACACACACACACACATTTCAAGAAGCGAGCTGTCACGTGCAGTCAACATGGTGTTAAATGGAATCCTGTCCAACATTGGCATTGCGAGAGCATGTCTTCCTGTCCCCAAGTTAAGGTTGTTCCTGTGTTTACGGCATGGTTGGTTGGGTAGGGGCTAAACACAGTTATAAGTGTGGAGCCTCGGCTGATCGGTTTAAACCTCTTTGCGAAGAAGTCGTTATGCGCAGTACGTCGTCACCAAATGCGCATATTTTCGTCAGGGACCTGTGGAAAAAGTCTGCTGCACCTTACTGTCGTGCTCTGAAAACACC